ACCTATTTCAGTGGGAGTTAAGCAGATATTAATAATATGCTTTTGAAAATCCCATGGACTCACTTTGTACTTTTACTACTTAGTAAATAAAATACTTTTGAAGAAATTGGCCCTGAGCTCCTGAATGAGAAAATATTTCCCATTACTTAATTTTCCTTTGGAGCAGTCTTGAAATGTTCAAAATTCTTGACTGAATAGCTTTGATGTTGCTGAACCAAAGTCTGAAGAAAGCCTGCTTTTTCCATTTGTTGTCATCTTAGAAGCAGATTCCCTTTAGAAACCTTTCTGAACCTTCAAATATTTATAGTAAGGGGCTCTGGTTGAGACAAAGTAAGAGAATCTTACTAAATCCTTAAGAGCATGCAGTAAAACATAGTCTTTTTTTAGACTGACTAAATTAGTAGAGGAAGAATGAGACATCACGACACATGTGAGGCACTACAAGTACCAGGCTTATGTATCTGAGTTGACTGAGCTACTGTGGAAGTCACAAGATTGAATCCAATCAATATGAGCAGTTTAAAATGAGCTGAACTTCACTGTTCTGGAGGTCTTTCTGGACTGTTTCAGACACAAGCATATAAACCCATAGGCATTTATATATATCTGAGCATGTGTGTTTGTAGCTCCTTCCTGGGAGTGGAAGGCAGACAGAAAGGGAAGGGGAAGAGGAATGGGAGTTCATTGGAAGTTTCCTTTCCTTGCCCTGAGCTGCGCCACCTCCGGGGACTGAGGGGTTAGAAGTGGAGCAGTGGAGGGAGTAGGAGCATGTTGTTTAAGCTCTCCACTGAAGAGTTCATGATGGAAAACACTCACCTCTCCCCTACCTCAGTGTGTGTAGGCTCTAGAGCCCTACAACTGGAGTTATAGTTTTCTTGCTTTCTCCATCTCTGTGTAGCTACCATGGCTGTTTTGGAGAGATGATGCTTTCAAACCTACTCCTGCAGGGATATCCGAGGGGCAGCTGGACAGAGGTCCCAGGGAATGCAAGTGTGCAGTCCTCTGTGTGCCTGTGTAAAGCAGGGGCTTTCTGTGCTGTGCTGGCTCCTTCACTATTTGTGTGCTCTGAAGATTGACAGGTGTATGTATCGTGTGTCTTAAAAAGAGCATTTATTCTGGACAGCTTTTCCTACTACTTCTCTATCCTTCATGTCCAGCTTGTTTCTTTCTCTCCCCTTTCTACCATATTTCTCTAATTTTAAAAATAAGGCCATCAAGATAAATTGCCATTTACTGTTTACTGTCCCTTGCAAATAGATTCCCCCCACAACAAATTTACAGATCACCTTCAGAAGACCTAGTTTTACTACAAGATTTGTCAATAATACATCATTTACTAGTACATCACTAATTCTTCTAGTTAGAAAAATTCTAAATAGATTTTAAAAATAGACTCTAAAATATTAGATATGCATCTATGTTTTTTATTTCTTAAATAATAATCTGCTAAAGAACCTGGACTAAAATGTCAGATCCCTTTCTGTATAAGGGAAGCTGCTATGGTGGCCCGTTTTGCCTCAACATTAATTAAACTGGAAGAGGGAGGTTGCTTCATTGTCAGTTGCTTTGTAGGGTGCAGTCTCCCTTAGTAACTCCCACTTGTGTCATTATTGTAGGTATTGACTGGATAAGACAGATGTGGTTGGGATTTGCTATGCCAGAGGACTACCTCTAGTTTCTGGGGTTTTTTTGATGTGTGATGTAGATTGTGGAATCCTTCAGGTGACTGATTTGATCCTGGATTGGGAAGCCCTGAAGAGGCTTCAAGCTGGTTGTACCTTACCTCTGGATATCATTCTGAGCCAAAGTCTAGCTGAAATGTCTTTGCTGGGCTTTGTGCCAAGTAAGGCAGGCCTAAGCTTAGGGGTGTGACAGAGGTCCACACTGCAGTGAGGTGCAGTTCCAGCAGTTCAGAATGTTTCAGTGGGTCGTTCACAATGATAGAATCACACCTGTTAAATTTTTGCAGGATCAAGCCTTAGATCTGTGGTAAGGGGTCAGAAATGTGGACAGCAGTTGTGAATTTTAAAATAGATTTAATTGCATCTTCTTATGTTTCGTTGTTGGTCTCTGAAATCTTTCCAGTGGCTTTTAGGGCTCCTCCTAAATTCAGATATGATAAGATACTGCTGGGTTTCAAAAATTAACTTTACCCAAAACCATTTCAGTGTTTTCTACCTGCCTCTCTTGTTTAATTAGAATCCGGTGGAAGTTCACACATTTGACAACTTTAAAGCCTGGGAAGAGTTGTCTGTGAGATTCTAGTATTGGAGCATGGGTGGAGGGATGGGGCTGTGCAACACGTGCCTGTCCTCTGATGTGGAAGATGGTGCCAAACCAACTGGTGGCACTGTGGAGCTGGAGTCCCTCTGCTATTTCATCCATGTCTGTAATATTGCTCTCCCTATTTCCTTACAGTCTTTACAGACAAATGGACTACAGGGAACAGCTACAGATAAATAATAAACAAGGGGAATTGTATGGTGAATATCTTCAGATGGGAACTGAAAGATAGTGCTGAGCCAAAGGATGAAGAAACTAAAGCCTGTTGTTTTGTGGAGACCAAACATTTTATAACAACCACATCTGCCTGGAGCCCCAAGTTGGGACTGATGACAGGGACTTGGGTAGAGGACACACCATAGAAAGGAGAAATTTTGGATTCAAGTAAGATATGAGCTATCTAGAAAAGCTAAAAGAAAAAGGCTAAAGTTGTCTGGAAAAGCTAAAATAGAATTCAGGCTTTCTGACCTAAGCTAGGGCTGCACTGTGAGTCTGAAAGGTTCTTGCTTTCTTTTAGAAGAAAATGGGCCATCCTACCTCAGGACATCCATGCCATGGGATATCAGATGTTTTTGACTGGTATAGTTCCACAAGCAACAGTTTGGAGGCTTAAATTCCTAGCTGTTATGCCTGTTACACAAATGGTAGAGGTCTCACAGCAACAACGAGCAAGGATATTTTAACTGGCAATATTGTCAGAGACAATTTATAGTCTATTGTGTGGATGCAGCTGCTGAGCATTCATATCCTGCCACCATCTTGGCATTCCTGACTTTATTTTTGACAAAGGATGTTTAACCAGGAATACCTTCGTATCTCAGGATAATTTATATCTTGTCCGTTTGCGTCTTTTCTCTTTCCTTTCCTACAGCTTTCCCTTCTTCCCATACTCCTCACACACACGTATCTCAGGAGGGAACGCAAAAAAAAGGAAAAAATAAAAAAAAGGGTGAGTTGGGGGTGTGTGTGAGGGGAAGTGAAGCTAAAGCCATCATCAAACACCATAAATAAAACTTGGTAACAGAAGAAATGGTTGGTTGGTAAATATTTTGCATAAATCAATTCTGAAACCAAGAAAACTTTTTTTTTTTTACTACTGCAATTAAAAATCTCTTTACATAGATAATGGATAAAGTGTTTTTAAGGGCCATCCTTTCACATCCCACTTCTAGGGTTTCCTTGGGACGGGGCTTACTACAGAAAGGATCCTCAGTGTGTTCTGCCAAGGCTTTGCAAGGTCTGTGAAGCAGAGAGCTGGGGAGAAGGTCTTTGTACAGATATATTTTACTTCATTAAACTATTAGTTTTACCTTTTATCCAGGTAAGATGTGATCAGTTATAAAGCTTAGCCTAGTCACAGAGCCCATAAGTCATGCAGTATCACCATCCACCTTGCTCTGAGCCAACTCACCTTGCCTGTGCCTGAGCTATCGGCACCCTACAGGTGTCAGCATGTCATGACATCACTTTTCTCCCTTGCTGTATCACACACAGACTCCTTCTTCAGCTGTTTTTCTAGTGACTGATACTATTTCCTGACTAAGTGTCCACATTATGTTTGCCCCTCTCACAGCACAGAGTAAAAAGGACAGAGTAACATCCCATAGTTAGTGGAACAATCCCATAGCTAGTGGAAGATGGTGGTAGATAACTTTCCCCAAGGGAATTTGGTGCAGTGGGGTGAGTAAAGAAAAGCTGAGAGTCTTATTTCATCCCTGCTTTTTCCCTGGTGTACAGCAGAGTCACAAAGTGTCAAGGACATGCTGTGGAGTTGCACCTTGCACTCAAGGACTGCTGACCCCGCAGGCATCCTGCTCCAAGGGGGAAGCTCACTCCATCACTGCTGAGGGTCTGCTGGGGTTTCAGAATGCTGGTCAGGTAGCCCTAGGATCTTTTGAGTGATGTCCAGAGTACCAAGCAGTTTCAGCAGAAAGAACTGATATAAATTAAAAGTAAGCAACTTGAGGCATCTTGAAAACCAGCCACACCCTTGGGTTTATTTGTTTAAAGCTTCCCCTGTATTATGTCGTGCCAGCAGGGAGGCTCAGCCTGTTGCCTAGCTCAGCACACAGAGGAAAATTTGGTGTGGCTGTGATTGACAGGGCCATGGTGTTCTGTCAGGAAGGCTGTGATTTAGAAACAAAATGGTTTTGGGGAATTGCAATGGGATAGCTTCCAGTGAACTGAAATTGCCTTTCAAACACAGGGATGCTCACCCTTTTCTACCCCCTTTCCTTCCATTATTCATCGACAGTTCTTGTGGGGAGACAGAGAGGTCTCCGTTATTTCCTGGTCTATGCTATTTTTTCCTCTCTCCCTGTCTTTCACCACTGAAATATCTCAGCAATGCCAGGAGGCTGGTATGCCCCGGGAGGGTAAGAATAGTCTACAATGGCAGAGATCACTCCTGTTGTTGTTTGTCTACTTGCAGTTGTCTGGACAGAGGATCCACACAAGAGGTAGGAGCAATTGGATCTGACAAGCTAGAGCTTTTGCAAGACAAACTGTTAAAACCTTAAGAAGATTTATTCCAACATTCAAATCTAACAGTCCTGTTCAAATCATCAAAATAATCCTTCATCGATACATTGTTGTGGCTGGGTTTCTGATTTCCATCTTTGATCCTTAACAAAAATTCCTTCCTTTTTTTTTTTTCCTTCTTCTTCTTTTCCTCCCCCTATTTCTTTCCTGTCTAGTTCTAGCCTCCTTTGGAAATGACAAAATTGTTAGGACATCAGGAGCTGGGAGTGTTTTGAGCCTGTTCGAACATGGAGCGCTGGGACTCGCTGGGATTTTTGATTGTCACATTTAACTATAATGTGACTGTTGTAGGTAAGTACTTTAAAAGAGATATCTTCTTTCTTTTGCTGCTTCATATCCTGAAGCCACCCAAGTGTCCTACTGATAATCAACTTTAATTTCTAGCTATGGTTCTTTGATTCTTAGAGTAAGTTGTTATCGATACCTAAGAGGTTAATGTATTTCTTTTCTTGTTACTGCTCCCTCTCTGATAGATATTTCCTGAACTTTATGCAAAATATTCTGACATCTTCTTGATACCAGAGCTTCCAGTCATCAGGAAGTAGGGATCATGGTGAAAACAGACAGAAGTAACACCTTATACCAGTGAATGGTAAAATATATGCAATAGCTTTAGTGATGGATTAAAATAATTGAAAGAAGGGAAAAAACCTCCTCTCTTCTACAGAGAGAGGTTTGTGGTTTACTACTGTTGTGGTTAATTACCAACACTTTACTCTTTATAAACAAATAAAGATGATATGCATTTTAAAAAAAGGCAAAACAAAGCAAAATACAGTTGTTTTTTTTCCTCAGCTAACAGTTGACTGTTTGGTTTTTTTTACCCTTCTTATATAAGTAGGGTGCTGTTCCTCTTTAATGGGCTACTTTGAGCAAAGTATGTGCCAGAGAAAAACTTTCAAGGGCCTTTCAAAGACCCTCAGCCTCCAGCTGTAGCCAGTAGTTGTAGTTTGTGTTGTGCATTGCAGGGAACATCCAACTAAGTCCCCACAGGGCCAGCGGAGGGGCTTGTTCTTGTATGTTTAATCAAGATTGAGTCTTTAGGGAAGGTGATGGGTGGAGGGGTTATCTCTCAAATGCATGTCATACTAAACTACTTCCTAAGGAGCCATTGATTTTTCTTAAGCAGCACTCCCTCTTGTACATGTTCTAATTAAAAATTGATAGTGAAATAGCATGTAGTATTTTGAGCTTAATTAACTAATGTGCTTCAAACACTTTGAGGTCCTCATAGGGAAAAAGTGCTGCCTAAGGATGAAACATGGCTTCCTGATTCTGGAGAGCTGGTGTTTCCTATTGACCCACACTATGTCGAAAAGTGAGCAACAGCACATCCTGCCAGCAAAACTCAGGAAGCTGGAAACATGGCAAAACCACCACTAAGGCTCATGTAATTAAAGATAAAATGGAAAGGCCTCAATTTATTTATGGTTAGATAATATATTATTTTGCCAAGCGCGTCAGGTTTCTCTGATGATCCCTCATAAACCTTATATATCCTTAACCTTTTTTCCAGCTGGTTTTCCATTACAGTCTTACTGTTCTAGACCATAATTAGTCTACTGGCCACAAATGGTTTTTGTGGGGCACTTGAACTATATGTTCAGTACAATAATAGATATCACACAATTTTGTGGATATATCTGAATATTTAAAGTTTACACCAACTATTGGGAAATAACTGCATGGGAAATACAAAAGAAAATTCTTCAAGACAATACCTACAAATAATTCTATATTTTATAGGTAAAAGGCTTTGTGATCTGGATTTTTAAAAAGTCTTTATAGTGTGTATTTGGTGCTATTTCAGAGACTGCCTTCAAAACCTTGTGTACATGCGAGATGTGCATTCACTATTAATGACTTGAGGTTTTCAGTGCATTTCTCAGCCATTAATTCCATATAATATGCTTCTCTTTAGTCACTGAATTTGCTGTTTGTCTGCCTGTGGTTACAAATGTTGTCTTAACCATTCTTTAAAGTACAGACTTAATCTTATCACTCTGTTGTTTTTTTTCCCTCTTTTTTTTCCCAAGTGGACCTTTTTCCTTTTTCAAAAGTATGTAGGTAACTAGTGACAGGACTCAAGAGGAAACTTAAACTTAACTTCAGATGTTGAATTTTTCTATGTGTTTGTACAGAATGTATTTTTAGGCTTTGACAATACAACAGTATATATTTATGCCTTCCTATCCTGCCCAGGAAAAGAATTTAGATTTTCATTGAATCATAAAATGGTTTGGGCTGGAAAGGACCTTAAAGATCATCTAGTTCCAACCCCCCTGACATGGATTTTTGTTCCTTTCCCTTTCCCTTTCCCTTTCCCTTTCCCTTTCCCTTTCCCTTTCCCTTTCCCTTTCCCTTTTCCTTTTCCTTTCCTTTTTCTGTCCTCTCCCCTTCCCTCCCCTTCTCTTTTTTTAAATTAAATAACTTTGTCAGTAATATAGCAGTGTTTGTAAGTTTACAAAAAAAAATTTAAAAAAGACCTTCCCCATCCAAATATCCTCCAAGAAACTGTCATGAATAATACGGTCTCGTTCAAAAGGTATGATAAGTACTGTACCAACGCCTGATCCTTCACTGCTCTTAGTGTAATGGAATAAGGATAAGGCCTGATCTTTCCAACCCAAGCTGGGTGAGACCAAGCCCTACCACAGCAATTACATGAGAGAATTCAGGAAAAGGGGAAGTAAGCAATGTATGAAAATGCTGAACTTGTGAGACTTCACTTGGTGTCAATATCAAGACAGAAGGGAGCTTTGGGTCTGAATGGAGAAAAGCTGCACACCAAGGTGAATGAAGGTTGGAAGACGTGATGAAGATGGGGCAACCAAAGAAGCAATAGAGGGAGATGACTGGGGTATACGTGCACACACAAATGTACATTTGTAGAACATTTTGCATGAGTTTACTAATAATAAAAATAATAATAACTTATTATTAGCTTGCTAGTGAATATCATTCTAGACACAACAGAGAGATTTTGTTGACCGTAGTAAACTTTACATGCAATTTCATGGCCAAGACCAAGAACAGTCTTTTGTATCTAGATGAGTTTCACACTGTCTTAGCTGACCTATATTATTGAAATAGGAAAAGATTCAAGTGCAGGGGTAGGAACCCAACAGCAAGTGAAAAACTTTAAGTGAAATTGTTAACTCAATTTTAATTTTTTTTTTATCAGATTTGGACATATTCAGAGTGTTTTCATTAGGTTTTGGTTGACATGGCTTATTGTATGTTAAACTCCTACGTTGTGAAGTCAAGATGAAGATTATTGAATGTGTCAGCTACACATTTTCACATGTTTTTCAGTCTCAGTCAAAAAAAAGCCAAAGAGGATCTACTAAGATGGGAGACTGATTACAGAGGCTATTTCTTCAAATATCTTGTGTATAGAAAGAGCATCACTACATTACCTGCCTTCCTTTTCAGTGCTCTGACTCTTTTTCATACCTTTTCTTCTCTTCTAGGAAAGATCTGGCTAATGTTAATAATTCTGCTGCGAATGGCAGTGGTAGTGTTGGCAGGCTATCCCCTCTACCAAGATGAGCAGGAGCGCTTTGTCTGCAACACCTTGCAACCAGGATGCTCCAACGTTTGCTATGACTTGTTCTCTCCCGTATCTCACTTCAGATTCTGGCTCATTCAGACTGTGTCCATCCTGCTACCTTATGCTGCATTCAGCATTTATGTTTTGCACAAGGTAGCTATGTACCTTGTAAGAATGCACTGTCTGGTGCATGGATGCAAAGGAAATAAGAGTTTATCAAGCCCCAAAGACATGAAGGAGCTCTGTAGAAATGCTGTTGTCAATAGAGTAGAGTGTGATGAAGAGAACCTAAGTGTCCTTAATTTTTCTGGGGCATATACTGTTCATCTCTGTTTTAGGACCCTACTTGAGGCTGCCTTTGCAGCTGCGCAGTATTTTCTTTTTGGATTCTTTGTTCCCGAGCGCTTTTCCTGCTACCATTCACCTTGCACAAGCACAGTTGACTGTTATATCTCCCGGCCCACTGAGAAATCCATCATGATGATTTTCATCTGGGGAGTCAGCAGCCTGTCCTTTGTGCTCAGCCTTGCAGATCTTGTCTGTGCTCTCCGGAGAATGACAGCAAGAAGGCAAAAGAACAAGCTGCTGGCAAACCTCTGCATAGAGAAGGAATGCATTTTAAATCTTCCCCCACTACAGCACAGAAGCTCTCCTCCACCTCAAAATGAAGACTGCCCAGTATCAAATAGCTGCCAGACCAGTGATGGCTGCTGCTCACTTCTCTCTGATGAGGAAGAAGAGCCTGTTCTTCATTCTGAAGCTGTCCCTCAGCAAACTGCCAGCCCTAACCTTAACAGCACCAGCAACAAGTGCTGTGTATCAGATGATCTTGCTGTTAAGCAAGATAGCACTGAAGAACCGTTGTGTGCTAGTGACCAGCAAGGAACTACATGCAGGCAAGTGAGACCGAGATTTCAGCAAGACTTCGTTGAAGAGACTGCCCTGGTTTTGAGACCTCAGATCAACTGTCACCTTGGAGTTTCTTCCTCTGCAGTTCAGAGCAACATTTTAGAATTCTACCCTTCAGCTGAGCTAAAAAACCTTGATGCACAATCAAATTATAGCAATACTAGTTGCTTGAGGTCAAAGAAGTCAGAATGGGTATAGAGCCCAGAGTGAACACCACCCTGTGACCTTCACAAATCATTGCATCACTGAGGAGGCTTCAGGGAGTTCCAGCTGAATCCCTTGGCTGTGGTTATGCTGCAGTGATACTCTGCTGTGCTCCAATGACAAAGAAGCAAAAACTTTGGATAAGAGTTTGAAGGATATTACATTAATGAAGTGTTCTTTGGAAAATGTAACATTTTTATGGTTTTCTGAATGTGAGTGACTTTAAAAAGCTGTAGACTGTCACTGATGTATCTGACCTGGTTTTCCAGGAGCATGTGTGAGCACTTGTTTACCCTAACCTAGTTTTATTGCAAAAGATTGAGCTTAGGAAAGACATGACTATAGTTGTATACTGTCTACTGTCAAAAACTTAATTTATCTTCTCATACTAAATTCTCAAAGCCCACTCTAAGAAAGGATTTTCAAGCAAAAAGACTAGACTATGAATAAAATAAAAATACTTCCTTTGTAGCAAGTGTTGATGTGTAAAAACATCTTATTTCTTGAAAGCGTCACCTCTCCTATGTAGCAACGCCATGGCAGTACCTTTCTCTGATGCTGATGTCAGCTGGCAGTCTGACCATGTCTGAGTTATTCAACTATAGCATTTTCCAGTACCTAGAGGGGCCTACAGGAAAGATGGAGAGGGACTTTTTACAAGAGCTTGTAATGATAGGACAAGGGGGAATGCCTTCAAACTGAAGTAGGGTATATTCAGATTATGTATAAGGAAGAAATTCTTTACTGTGAGGGTGGTGAGGCACTGGAACAGGTTGCCCAGAGAAGCTTTTGATGGCCCTGAAAGTGTTCAAGATCAGGTTGGATGGGGCTGTGAGAAACCTGATCTAGCTGAAGGTGTCCCTGCCCACAGCAGAGGGGTTGGAACTATATGATTTTTAAGCTTCTTTCCAACCCAAACCAATCTCTGATTCTGTGAACTACAATCATCTCCAGAATGGAGTGGCTGCATCCAGATTAGCTGTTGAGCAAGGTCCTGCAATCAAGAATTGCTCAGGATACAGCTAGGAGGAGCAAGCCAGAAGGGTGTCAGAGCTCCAGCAGCTGGCACTGAGCAGCGGTGTCCGTGCCCTGGCTCTACTGACTGTGCCCTAATGAAGATGTGCCACTGACGTGTCTACAAGGTGCTACCTCTCTCAGTCTGAAATAGTCACACTGGGCTCTTGATTTCAGAAGGTGAGAATGAGTCACCTGACCTGTTTTAGGCATTTCTGAAGGTGAGTCACTTTCTAGATATACCTGTTTCTCCCACAATATGATTATCTCATACCTGGGCTTAGGGAAAATGATTTCTACCCTGAAAGAAGGATATAGAGGCAATGTCTATATCAGAGTGCTTGCCCTCTTTGTCTGACAGACTTCTAATGCTAATAATTTGAAAATATATCAAAACTGAGTGAATCACAGAAGATTTTATTAGTCATGCTTTGTGCTCTCCTTCAGTGTTAATTCTGTTGCATTTACATAAACGTGGTCCAGCAGTGAAGCACAGCAGTGCGTGAGATGAATTTTCTTTCAGCTACAAGTCAGTGGGGGTTGAAGGTTGCATATACCTGCAGATCATCAGTGGGAGTGGATGTGTAGGAGCATGTACTCAGAGAAATGTACTAGTGGTAGTGTCTTATAAAATGGATTATTCAGAGGGTGTCAGGAACTGGTATTTGTAGATATCTCTTGGAGCTGGAGCAGCTATGACACTGTTTAGACCAGATACAGATCTAATCTTGTTCTGTCTGTTGTGAACTTATTATTTCTGTAATAGTTCAATGGCTTGCTCCTCTATGCAGAACATGAAGGGACAACAGCTTTCACATTCTTCCTTTTCTCTCCTAGGGGTAGAGAAATCTTTAAGACAGTTTGCCTCATAACCTCTGTGGATCATTTCTCATGTGTGTAAGGTAAAGACTAGCAATTATCCCTCATCTTCTGAATCTCCCCCAAAATTAGGTAGCTTAATAGATAGACAGAACTGCTCTTTGGGTCAGGAGCAAAGTATTTTGGGATCCTGAGGTATGCTACAGACATTTTTAATTACTACCTTCTAAGTAAGGTTTTCTTCTCTATTAGCTCTGTTTGTTTCTTTTATTGTGCATGCTTGTTGTGTGATTTGTCATTTCCAAGGTAGGAGCAGCATTAATTATTAAACTTATCATAGGCAGAAAAACATTAAATATTTAAACTTCTCATCTTCCAAAGCCTCTTTAATGGGGTCTGTGCTGATTACACATACCATGACAAAACATTGCAACAATGAAACCTTTTATGATTCTTTGCGTCTTCTCAGCTGCAAGAAGGAATGCAAGGAACAAATGTGGATTCAGTCTATCGCATACATCCCTCAGCATGAGATATAAATAGGGTAGGATAAACCATAAGTGCCTTGTGGCTGGACACAGTTTGCTTTTTTTGTGTCTCCAGTTAGATATCTTCTAATGAATGAAGAGTCTCATTTCAAATCCAAAAGATCCTCTTTGTGTTTGAAATGGAAAGTGAAATTAGTGAACTACTTCCTTAGTCTGCAGATACTTCTTGTGAGATTGTGGCCTTTGGTTTGTGTCACTCTGCTGCAGACCTGGCTGCTTTTGGGACTTGTGGACCTGTTGATGTGTGGTTCAGAGTCAGTGTAATAAGCACGTAATGTGTTTATAAAAAGTGTGTATTAAAAGAGGAAGATTTTATATAGGCTTTTCCCTGAAGAGTAAATAGAAGCTTCTGTCATCAGCAACCTGCTCCTAGGGGAATGTCTCAGAGTCTCTTCTACAACTATTTCCAAGTCACATTTATTAATTACAAAGACATAGTTTTACACAGTGGGTGGATCTACCAGCAAGGGAAGATGTGCAAAGGTGTTTGAACTATTGTGAACTTCCACAGCTCAAGGAAATGAAAAGTGGTGGTTGGGAGGGGCATCCACAATGGGGAGGAGAAAATGGCAAAGATCTGTTGGAAAGAACATTTCTCCTCACATTCAATTCTCAAAGAACAATTCTCCTTACCCTGAATGTGAAGGTGCTGTAGAGATGTCTCAGAAAGTGTGATCGAAAGAACTAATAGATGTGAAGCAAGGAAGCAGGCTTCTGGTGACCTAGAATTTCCATGGTTTTTGTGTAGCAAAATCAAGTATCACTGGGAGTTTCTGCAGTATCAGCATGATTGAAGGGGAAAAAAAAATCTATTGTGTTACCCCTAAATAAGATAGATTTTAATTTTTTTTCCTAAACAATTTTTTTCTATTTCCTTTGTTTTGTTTTAATTGGGAATATATTTTTTAATACAAAAATAGAAGCCAGACCCCAAGTTTCAGTCAGTTATAATCACTTTATCTTCTTTTTGCACTCTCTAGGTTGGGTCATTTGGATTTACTCTCATCAGCATAACAGAAAGCTGTGGCTCTCTCCTTGCTTGTGAAAGACACTGTAGACAGGTGTCTAGGGAATGCATAATTTCCTGTTAGCAGCAGTTGTTCTCCATGAATCTCTCAGTTCAGCCCAGAATAAGTATTAAATCTGAAGTTAGCAATGTAGAGAGATCCTCAGTGTATTCTTTCAAGTTATTAAAATTATCTGCCCTTACATGATACATCATTATTGCAATGACTGTCTTTCTAGAAGGAATCATTAAAGAGCATATTAATTGGACACTATTTTATTGTAATGTCATGATTACAATGGAGAACAGATAAATTATTACTGCTTGTGGTATTTCAGGATAATAAAGAAATGCTTCTCCAAAAATAGGAAAGTAGAGTAGTTTAAAAGGATGTTCTTTAACTTCTGTCTTTTGTACTACTTTTAATAGCCTGATGTTCAACTGACAGAGAAGTAATTTTAAAATGTAATGCTCTTACATTGTAATTGAGTTGCTAAAATATTCTGCAGATTAGATGGTCTCCACTCACTCATAGCATGAACTCTTGGCCTGTGATGCCCAGCAGTGTCAGTTCTGAAAAATGAGTTCACCAGTAAGGCAAAAATCTGATCAGAGTGTAGCAACTGTATCTCTACAATTAAAATTATCCAGCATCCATGTAGATAGATGACAATCACAATCTGCTTCACTACTTTTGATTTCTTTCACTTTACTGTCTGTTCTCTTTCATTTGGTTTGACAGGCAGGATGTTCCAGGCCATCTCCACAACTATAATTTAATTATGGGACTACACATACAGTGTTAAGTCTGAGGACTGTGTTATGATCCCAGGCCATTCACACCATGGAAATGCCAGGAGATCTATTAGAGACCTATCTCTAATTCAGTTCCTGCAGGTAACACTTTGGGTTGAGTAGTGGATTAGCTTTGAAAAGCTTTCACTGATGAACAATTTACTGAGTGAAGAAGATGAAAATAGCAGATTTTGAACTTGTCTTTAGAAACTGAAGTTTATATATGGTGCTCACAAGAAAGATGTGGGATTTGGGATCAGCAATCAGAAGTAAGTTCTTTCAGTTCTGACTTTCCTATGCGTGTAACATCTATTTTTCCAGTGAGATTTTAGGCACTGCACACCAGAGTGTATTTGGGCATTTTCTGTCACTGAAAATGTTGCTTTTGGCAAAAAATAACAATAATGGAAATAAACAGAAGATTTTGACCTAGCAGAATCAATTTTTGCATTTCCCCCTGTGATTTATTGCCTCTTCCTTGCACTGAAGATAGGTAATATTTTTTTAAGAGAAATCAGGATGCTTTTAGAGCCCCACTTGTCCTGATAAATTAGACACCCACGTAGACACCCACTCCTTCTGCTCATTTCTCTACAAGTCAGAGTGAGTGATTCTTACTTCTAACAGACCATATACAGTGCAATGAGCTCTTTATTTCTGGTATAACCTTTTTTTCTACATCTCTGTGCTGTCTTTGAAGGCCTGGTGGAGATATTAAAGGTAGGTAGTTAAACAACTCATATACACTGCCTAACAAATCCAAGCTTTTTTCTTCTGGAGCAAGCCTTTTTCTAAAGCATTTTGCTGAAATGCAAACACAGAGTA